CATCTAATTCTAATCGGATTGTGGTCAGCCCAAGTATTCGTATCAATTACGATCTCCTCTACTTCTAAATTTAAATCGGCTGACATCCACACCATGTCAATTCTGGACCATGATTGATGACGTCCAGAGTAGAAGGTAAACTGTTTTTTCTCTAGATTCCTTTCTCTCCAAATATCCTGAATATTGAACTCATCTACCACTTTTAAAAATGTATCTGGTATTGTTCCTCTAGTTCTTTTTCTGCTCTTTCCACCTTTGTAATCTAGGTTCTTATCCACAATTGCATTGAAGTCACCCATTATGCAGATACTATCATATTCTATCTGGCTGATAATATTATGCAGTTTCTTATAGAAATGTTTTTGCCCTTCAGATTTTAAAAGCATTGTATATCTTTGTCCTGCTTCTTCAAAATCCAACTTTCATTTCCATAGTGTTATAAGGAATATCATTGCCCATAGTATTCTGATCTTTGTAGTAGATATAAACACATCACAGTATCTGTATATTTTTTCAAGGCCTTCATATGTACTGTACCAAGTGCTATTTTTCAGAATATTTCTGGACTGCTTGTTCTTTTACGGTCAATAGTTCAGTAGTTCTTCCAAAAAGGCAGAGGTTATGTACCTGTTCCATATCTGTCAATTCTGGTTATTCTACCTGTTTGGTCTTTATATTTTAGTCTCATTTATTCACTGCCTCCTTGACTTTTATTATTCTGCAGATTACTTAAGAGCTTGCAAATTCTTTGTATTTTGGGCTATTGGCTATTCAGCAAAGTATAGATTAGTGAAGTTTCTTTCTCCAACTTTAAAACCATATTCATCTTTTTTAAATCCTGCTTTGCTTAATGTATATGTTCAGTATATAGGCTGAATAAATAAAGAGAATATATATCCATGTTTGACTCCTTTTTCAAACTGGAATCTCAGAACATATCATTGTAATGCAAAACCTGTATACAGGTCAGGGAGCCCAAATATGGGTAGACAATGGTGAAATACGGCCTCCAGTTTGGCAAAGTTTTCTTGGTAAAAATATAAGACTGATTTATCATTGACTGCTCCCAAACAGTATAAATTGATGTCCTTGCAATTATCATTACCGTATATTCCGGCGTATAAGACGACTGGGCGTATAAGACGACCCCCAACTTTTCCAGTTAAAATATAGAGTTTGGGCTATACTCACCGTATAAGACTACCCCTGTTCCAACGCACACCAAATAAAAATTAAAAAACATCAGATTTGATTTCAATATGGTAATTTTAATTCAAATGCTTATGACATGCAGGTTCTTAGCAGGAAAACTGTCACTTATAAACATAAGGCTGTTTGTCATCAAACATGTAAACATAAAACAGTGCAAGTGGATTAAACTTTTCCTAATTCATTCTAAAGCTGAAAGGAAGGATAAGACAATAAACCCATGGGAGCTGCCATGCTGTTTGTTTTCTAAGCCAGGGCTTTTCAACCTTTTCACCGATTGTACCACTTTTAGAATATGGCAACATTCGAGTACCACCAGTCACCCAGCAAGGTGTCAAAAGCTTGATGACAAAAAAAAATGGAAAAAATTGATAAAGTACAGGTAGTCCTCAACTTACAACATTTTGCTTGGTGACTGTTCAAAGTTACAACGGCACTGGAAAAAGTGACTTATGACCATTTTTCACACTTATGACCACTGCAGCATCCCCAGGGTCATGTAATTTACATTTGGATGCTTGGCAACTGATTCTTATTTATGATGATCACATTGTTCCAGGGTCATGTGATCACCTTCTGCAACCTTGTGACAAGCAAAGTTAGTGGGGAAACCAGATTCACTGAACAGCCATGTTACTAATTTAATCTCTCTGCTTCTTTCTTTCTCTCTCTCCCTCTCTTTCTTTCTCCCTCCCTCTCTCTTTCTCCCTTTCTCTCCCTGTCTCCCTTTCTTTTTCTCTCTCCCTGTCTCCCTTTCTCTCTCCCTCCTTCTTTCTCTCTCTCTCTCCCTGTCTCCCTCTTTCTCTCTCCCTTTCTCCCTCTTCTCTTTCTCTCTCTCCCTCTCTCTATTTCTCTTTTGCTCTTTCTCTCCCTCTATTTCTCTCTCCCTCTCAAAAATCAGCCAGCCAGCTCCGTCTCCAGACCTCCTAGCTGACAGGCGCAGGTCCGGGGGTCGCCAGCTGACGGGCGCAGGAGTTCGGCGCTGCAGCGGCCTCCCCTTCGCCCTCCGCAACGGCCAAAGCGTTGCCTGATGTTCCAGCTGACAGGCGCAGGTCCGGGGGTCGCCAGCTGACGGGCGCAGGAGGTAGGCGCCACCGCGGCCTCCCAGCCGCTTGCTTCTTCGCCTGGAGCAGTTGCAAGGGTTAGGGCCGAAGAAGCAAGCGGCTGGGAGGCTGCGGCGGCGCCTACCTCCTGCGCCCGTCAGCTGGCAACCCCCGGACCTGCGCCTGTCAGCTGGAACATCAGGAAATGCTTTGGCCGGTGCGGAGGGCGAAGGGGAGGCCGCTGCAGCGCCGAACTCCTGCGCCCGTCAGCTGGCGACCCCCGGACCTGCGCCCGTCAGCTGGGAGGTCTGGAGACGGAGCCGGCTGGCGTGGAGGGCGATGGGGAAGCGGTGGCTCGACGGGTGGGGTCCTGCCTGCGCGCGAATGTCAGGCCCACCCGCCCCATCTGTAAAAGAAAAAGTCTTCCGCCCAAGCATAACACAGAGGCTTGAGACAAGGAGGCGCGGGACGCGGAGCGGCGCAAGGCGGCAGGACGGGGGGAGGGGTTACCTGCATCCTGCCAGCCGAACTCTGGAAGCCTGCCTGAATACCCGTATTTTCCGGCGTATAAGACGACTGGGCGTATAAGACGACCCCCAACTTTTGAGAAGATTTTCAGGGTTTAGAAAGTCGTCTTATACGCCGGAAAATACGGTAAATGTGATCATCTGCCTCCAGCATCTTCCTATATTATTGCTACACTGTGTTTTAGGTGCGTCCTTCCTTTAGCAGTGCTGCTGGGTCGACCTCATGCCTTGGATGATCCTGGTGGGATTATATATTCTGGGCATGTACGACTGGCTTTCCTCAATTCTCCTTCCCAGGAGCAAACGTCCTGCAATGATGAAGTAGCACAGCAGGACTTGGGGGAGGGAGGCATCCCAAATTAAACATTCTTCAAATCTATATTCCCTCATACTACTCTTTGATCTGTGAAAGTGTAACAAGAATATTTTTTATTCTTAAACAATCATATAAAACTATATTGAAGTTATTCTCTTCAGCTTTTGCTATGTAAAGTGGTTTGACCATCTTTAACTTATATCTTTGAAAGCTGTTTCCACAAAAATTTTCATAGTAACACAGAGTTTCACATAAATATTTTGTAACATGTTATGTGGTTTTATATTGTGGTTACATTACATACTGCATTCCATCACCATCCATGTTGGGACAAGATGGTTTTTCACTACAAAATGGTTCCTCCCCAAGTATCGCCTTCCATAGTATAAGTAGTATAATAATCTGAATTCTTGTTTTTTGACCCAAACTTCCTTAAATTCTCTGTAGGTATTTTAAGAATTTTGAATATTACCCCACAGGGTAAAAATCTTAAGTATCTTAAGGAGATAATCAACCAATAAGAGTATCTAGTTTAGAGTGCTTTGAAATGGATATTATATCTTGGGTGGTAAATTTATATGTGAGAATACATGTGGTGCATAGCAAATATTTTTTCCTCTGATATATGTACTGGTGAGTTTCTATAAAGTATTCTAGAGAGGAGAAAAATAAACTTGTTTCATGGATGGCAGCCTTGCAATTTTGAAAAGATCAAAGAAACCTGATGCTGATACTAGCAAAATACTTTTTAAGTTAAATTTAATGTGGGCTTTGTATATTCTGCTGTTAAAACTTTGTTTGGTTTTAGTTTATCCAAATGCTACCATATGGTTCCTAAATGTGTTTTGTACTTGTAGCAGATATCTGTAGCATGCAGTTATTCAGATTGCAGCCTACAAGCATAAGCTATTTATTAGTTAGCAGTCTAGTAGGCTGAAGATGATTATTGAATATCAATGTATCTATATATATTTTGCATTAATACCTACAGTTTGACATAATTGATTTTGTTTTGTTCCTTGGGTTTTTTGTGATCTAGTAACACAATGCAGGTTGGAGCAGTAGCAGATCTCAGACGCATTAAAAATGCTATTGGTGTTGCACGGAAAGTGATAGAACATACTAAGCACACTTTTCTAGTTGGTGAATCAGGTAATTTTTTTTGTTATCCTATTTGTAAATATTAACTACTATGTAGTGATGAGAGAGGCTCATAACTGGAGCCAAGAAGGCCTCACAACCCAATGGGACAAATGAATTAAACCTAATGATGATGATTCTTTGATTTTTGTTCCAGTTTTCTGGCCAGATGACACACATAAAAGTAACAACAACCGTAAAATACTTGTTCTTCTAGGTGAAAGCAAAATAATGAAAAAAAGGCCACAAGTAGTTTGGGCTACTAATACCTGGTATTAATTTGTTTGAATAATAATAATATTAAATTATTATATAATTTAAGGCGGAGCTGACAGAAGAGACAAGCTTCCCTTCCCAGGTGGATCTACTCATATGGACGCCAGTGCTATGAAGTGTGGCAGGCTGCTTCTGGGATTTTCAGATGATTAACTAGCTTGTGGGAGCTTTGAACTTTGTGTGTCAGGGACTTCAGGCGACATTGTAGGACTGCACAGCTGTAAGAATACTCAGTGCAGCGTAGCATGCCTTTCGGCTGCTCTTCTGACTATTTCTTGAAATCTTTGGAATGTTTCATAATCTGGCCTTGGGGGACTCTGGGGCTGTGGGGGGAAACGTTGGTGCAATTCAAGGTGCTGGTTGTCATCTTTAAAGCCTTCATGGCTTGGGACCAGGTTATCTCAGGGACTGTCTCTTGCTGGTCACATTCACCTGACCCACTGGAGCGGGAAGGCAAGGAATGTTGCGGGTCCCATCCCCTAAGGAGGTACATCTGGTGGGATCCAGAAGAAGAACCTTTTCTTTGGATCATCTTCCCTGCAGAAGTTAGACTAGTCCCCACTTGACAGTCTTTCAGAAGGCCCTGAAGACTTCATTTTGCCAGCGGGTCTGGGGTACCCAGACTGCAATGGAGTCCATCAAATGGCTTATTGAATTATGCTGTCGCTGGGGGGTAGGTGGGTGGGTAGTGTTTTTTTTTTCCTTTTCTTTTTTCTATATTGTACTTTTATTATTTGTAAGCCACCTGGAATCACTGTGAGTGAGTAGGCAGCTATATACATTTTCTAAATAAATAAAAATAGAAATTATATTATTAAATAATAAGCAATGAATGGGTTTAGTTAAGGCATCCATGACATCTCAGGCATGGTCTGGGTCTGTAAAGGGATAGCACATTACCTTTTGTTGTGTCTTTTCTGGGAGGACAGAACATGTAGTCTCTCAGCCTCTATTAGTCTGTGACCAATAGGTGACAAAATGTACAAAAGTATAACTTCAAAGTTTTATACTATGGATTCATAGGATGTACATATGATTGTAGTCAAATATTAACTGCCAGGAATACTTAACACTTGTTGTTTTCTATAAAGCTTCACTCTTTGCAGAAAACATGGGATTTCCAAGTGAAGATTTAACTACGCAGAATTCTGTTTCAATGTATGTAAAATGGCTCAATCAAAACTGCCAGCCAAACTTCTGGAAGGTAAAATATTTAAAAATAAACCTTAGTGACTGTTATTTATCATTAAAAAATCTGCATATTTCATACCTTATGATCGTCACTGGGAGACTAGATGACTGACTGCAATCCACTTTGCTGAATATAATATTTCTGAGTCACCAGATAATATATGATATAATTTAATATTAATATATATTAAAATATATTAATATTTTGTAGTAGTTTTTAAAATTTCAAACACTGCATATGGGAAAGTATGTAAAAGTGAAGCTAGTGCATTTAATATTTCTTAACAACCATGTATCGTATCACAAAATCTATTTTGTATCAATTTTCAACAGTAGATGATCAAGGTGAAATGAGAAGGGGGCAGGGATAAAAGGTTTATTCATTAAAATAATTGTGTATATGTCTAATACAGTTTGCAATAGTTTGTTGTGCTTGGTATGAACCAATAGCATTTCTGTTTCGTTTTCTTTAATTTCGTGTTTCCCCAAAAATAAGACAGAGTCTTATTTTTTTAATTTTTTTGCCTCCAAAAGAGGCACCAGGTCTTATTTTTGGCTGCTGTCTTTTCCACTCACCTCTGGCACCAACAGCCTCACCCGGCTGGTCCACCTCTTCTGCGGCCAAAGAAGCAGCTTCATTCTGCAGCTGCATTTCACAGTCAGGCCTTTCTGGAAGGCCTATGCAGCCATGTACCAAGCTATGGATTAAATCCATAGCTCAGTTCTCGGCTGCAGTGGCCTTCTGGAAAGGCCTCTGACTGAGAAATGCAGGCCTGGCTGCAGAAAACACCGCAGAAGAAATGGGCCGGTGAGGAGAGGCCTGGCTGCAAGGTAAGTGGGTGCGGGGCACATGTGTGCTTCACCCCAAAACTAGTGCTTATTTTCGGGGTAGGGCTTATATTAGGCCCACCCCAAAAATCAAGCTAGAGCTTATTTTCAGGGTAGGCCTTATTTTTGGGGAAACAAGGTAGCAGGAAAAAGAAAAGAAAGAAATTAAAAGTATATTGGGAAATTTTAAAGACTGAATGCTGTAGAAGATTCCTACTGGACCAAACAAAGGCCTATCTTAGTTTTTTCTTATCCTTGCGCTAAATTCTCATACTCTTGAGCTATCATGCTTGCTGATGTTTTTGATTATTGTCATCCAGTGGACATAAGATCCGAGTCTGTCCTGGCATTATCTTTCTCACTAATATGTAAAACACAAGAAAAATTAAGATATAACCCAGCTTTTCTTTCCTGCAATTGGCATTCAAAGTTCTTTTACCTTTGATATTAAAGGCAGAGTTTTAATTTCCTGATGAGGGTCATACAAAGTGAAGTCAATACTTTAAGTTAATGAATGGGATATAAATGGTAATTTAAATTTAGGAATTTTTCTGTACCTTCTCCATTTCCAATGAGCAGGACAACAGCATCAGACCATTTCAGCTCCCAAAATATGGTTGCTTACAGAAATTCTGTTTTATTTGGCAGTAGTAAACAATATAACCATATGGAAAGCACTGGGAGGTCAGTCTGTGTTCACAAATGAGCAAACACTTTATTACCACTTTAACATGGAAATGTAGAATAAATGAGAATGGATGCCTTGAAGTTGGCGTCAGACAGTATCTCCCAATTAGTTGGCCATTGTGATCCTTGTAAGAGTTGCAGACCTTTACTAGTCTTTCAGTACCAAGTAGAAACATCTCCCAGCAACAGTATACAGGTAGTCTTCGACTTACAACAGTTCATTTAGTGACCGTTTAAAGTTATGACATCACTAAAAAAAGTGACTTATAACTATTTTTCATACTTGTGACCGTTGCGGCATCCCCATAATCACGTGATCAAAATTCAGACGTTTGGCAACCAACTCATATTTATGACCTTTGCAGTGTCCTGGAGTCACATTTTTATTTATTTTATTTATTTTTCATAATTTATATGNGCATACCCGGAAGGCCACTGGCAACCAGTGCAGCTCGCGCAGCAGCGGCGTTACATGGGAGCGACGCGTCGCTCCCAACACCGCCCGCGCGGCCGCATTCTGGACCAGTTGAAGCCTCCGGATGCTCCTCATAGGGAGCCCCATGTATAGAGCATTACAGTAGTCCAGGCGGGAGGTGACGAGGGCCTGAGTGACTGTGATCTTCTGACAAGCAGTCAATGGAGAAGCCAGATCCACTTAACAACTGTGTTACTAACTTAACAGCTGCAGTGATTCATTTAAAAACTGTGGCAAGTAAAGTTGTAAAATGGGGCAAAACTCACTTAACAAATGTCTCACTTAGCAACATTAATTTTGGGATCAATTGTGGTCGTACTTCGAGGACTACTTATAACTAGAAAACTCCCTAGATGCATAATGTTTCCAAAGAATTAAGCAGATTTAAAATAATTTACAGGAGCCAAAGTTTTGGTGGAAGAGGCTTTTTTATATGATCACGTGGGAATGAGTGGAGGAGCTTTAAATGCCCACATATATTATTTTGCTATAATGACCAATCATTTCCAACCAGATGGTAGCACTTAATTGACTTTTTGTGTACTCAAAGATGGCTGGATGCTTTTAATATGTGAATGGGAAACCAAGAGGCAGCTAGAAGATTTTAAAAAATCCAGAACAAAACAAAATTCACCTGTATTGCTCCCAAGAAAATAACATGAACATGTTTAAGAAATCAGTTTTAAAAAGTGAGCATTTCTGAGTTTTTATATCTCTACCCCAACCCATCTCTTTCGTTCTGTACAGCTATTTCAGCAATGCCAGCTTCATTAGACCCTGTAATACAAACTTAGGTTTGGCAGTATACGCTATGCTGTATGTGTATATGTTATAACTATGTTTAGTGGATGAATTTTGACATAGATATGATCCTAGATATTACTAGGATAATCAATACCTGAGGACCTTTTACGCTCTTGAATTAGATGTCTTGCATTTAATAAGCTCCATAGGTAATCTTAGTCAATATTGTTGAGTGTAACAAATGTCATGGCCATGTCCTGTAAGTTACCCTTCAAAAAGCAGAAAGCAGTGCTGTATGGTGGAAATCTAGGACAAACACTAAGGAAGTTAAGACACAACAGCTTATAAATGTTGCAGGAGAACTTTGTGATTAAGCTAACCTCTTCATTACCTTCCTTATGAAAGCAGGAAAGTGGGGCATTGTATTTTGCATTTAGTACCTGAATTGCATGTAAAGTGAGAATAAAATATGCTGAATTATGAGGTTTAAATCTTTCAGAAACTAGCACTGTAGTTATATATGAAGTTGTCTCATCACAATCAGTAGGGATGCTCATAAGATCTGGGAGGAACTCATTTTAAATTACCGTTGTAGGAGCAAGACATATCATGCTGAGGTTTTTTTGCACATAGAATCTTGATATATTTCGTTTCTCTTCTGGGTATTCGTCTTAGGACATATTTGCAAATCACAAAACAACATGAGATTTGAGCGTTTTTGTAACTGGAGTATTTTTAGTACTGAGTTTCTCCTATGGAGAGATATATGCTTTATCTGTTCTTTGTTTAATGCCTCAGAACTGCAATAATTTGCTTTAGTTCTTTGCCCTTGGCATATACAAGCCTATATTTTTCTTTTAGCAAGGTAATTTAGTTCTTTTCTCTTTTTCAAAGTCTAGGAAAAATGTCCAAAGGTTTTTTTAAAAATATCTCTTCATTAAAGATTTTAATGTGAATAAAACTTTGATTACAGAATGTTACACCAGATGCTTCAAAATCATGTGGTCCCTACAAACAGACTGCAGAGTTCAGTAAAAAAGAACAAAGCACTTCAGACAGAAGAATTGAAGTTCATAACCACGATACTATTGGTATAGCAACTAGTCATACTTTAATACTTGTGTTTGTTGCAGCTAAAATCCCATACACAATTAAATATCAATTGTGTATAAAGTAATGGACATAATACAAAGGACATCTATCAGGAAATAGATGGTGTTATGATTTTGCTATTTATGTGTTGAAATCTGCTTGATGCTTATTATACTCATCTGGCATATTGTTCTTCAGTTGGTTTTAGAGTATTATATTCATTTTTCAACCCTTAGCCTTCTCTCCTCAAATATAGTGATAATGGACTTTAGGTCCACTTATTGGGGTATACAGATGCACACAGCCTAAAGAGAAGCTTTTATTAGCAAAGCTGGGTTGTGATCTTAAAATATGAAATGTAGGTTCATTTTGAAGAGCAATTTTGTTTTTGCCTGCTTAAAACATTCATCAAGAGTATCCTTTAAAACAAAATGAAAGATTTCTTATTGGATGTTCTGAAACTCTGCAGCCAAATGAAACTTAGGGATTTGGACAGAATTAACTTCACATTTTAAAAAAATTCACTCAAATGAGTAGGAGGGGAACTATCTGTGTATTTGGATTTAGTCTCTGCCATCTGTGTAGCAATTAAATATGGAATTTACAAAAGCACTGGAGTGACTTGGGAATGTACATCTCATTGCCAGACACTTAAGGCAACACTTCAAGTGTGATGATTACATTCGTCATCATTTAGCAATTAGCATTTTTAAAATGTCAAATGCTAAGTTTCTTACCAAGCAAAAGGTATGACCTCGTAAGCACTTCCACTTTGGCAGCTTACCCGAGCCAGACATATTTTTCACTAGGTACAGTGATGTGCAGGAATGGGGTATGCTAGTGTATCTTAAATTAGATATTTTGTCTACTCTAGGCAAGTTGCCCACTTGGCAGATAGTATGTGATTAGATTCTTGTATTCATTCAGTAGTAAGACATGATGCTTGTTATATGAGCAACAGAAATATTGCTTGTTATATGAGCAACAGAAATATTAGTAGAAATGAAGTAAGTTCCTTAAAGTTCTGTATTTTCACAAGGAGGTAAAGAAAATTATTAGAATGGCTCCTTGAAAACAAAATCATGACTTAAATCTAATGCAGGGACATTGGCCACAATGTGAATTTCAGTTGTCTGTTAGAGGGAAAAAACATTCAAGCGCTACACTCATCATCTCACGTGCACATAAAAACTAAGTATAGAACAGAAATAAGAAATATCAAATGTATTTGAATATACAAAGTAGACACATTAAAAACCTAAGCAGCTCTACCTTGCCTCATCACGTGACGTGTTGCAACGTATCATGACTTTTTTTCCCATTGCAGGAGCTGGAGTGGGCACAGCCTCCGCATGATGCAACCAGCCCACGGGCCGGCGGTTTGACACCCCTACTATAGAGGAATAGCAAATTAATAATCACTTTACAACAAAAAATAAATTAGGCCCTACAAAGCCTAAAAATATACAACAAAATTATACAATATGCATCAAATAAACCCATCATCAGGATGACACCAGAAATTACAAATCCCCAATTCAGTTTATTAAAGTTTAATAATTATTTCAATCTTCCTCCACCCCCAAGCCCTGGATAGTTTCTAGAGCCACTTCCAACATTTCCCAATTATTGGAGCAGAATATGATTTATTTAGAGACTATAGAATCATCCAATCATTCCATTGCACCTATAATAAAATGTTATAAACATATAATAAAATATAAGCAGAAATCTATCTTCAGATAATCTTGATGGAGCTAAATGTTTCTAATGTAATTGGGCAGAATTTGAAGACGGAACAATCTTAATGGTCATGTCTTCTCTGATGGAAGATTCCCTTTTGGCTAATGGAATGTCCCTTGAACAAACTTATTTCAAAAATAAAATGTTTTCTGCCTTCTTTTTTGAGAGGCCTCTGGAAGAAAGATAATTTCCAAGTGTAATCGATCCAATCAAACATCTTGAAAAAAAATTAGCTGTCATCTAATGTTCTGTTATATAGCTCATAAAATATGGAAGTCCTGTCCATTTTGAAGGATGGGCAGTTTATTATCATTAAATGAGGAAAAGCTTCCTCAAAATGTTTCTAAATGTCAATTCTTTTTCATTTGTAGGCATGATTGTAATTGGTCAGAGTGGAAATATTGCTGTAGGGACATCTACAAATGGTGCAAATCACAAAATCCAAGGGTTTGTATAATTGTCTATAAAACTTGGCCCCATAAATGTAAAATATGATTTATTTAATGTGATGCAAATATTTTCCAACAATGTGTTTATTAACTATTTGTGTAAGAGGGATCACTTATTTAGTGATCTAAGCTAGAGGTTGGATTTGTCCTATGTTGTTATCTTTTATTTACTTCTTGGTAACAAATTTATTTTAATAGTATTTTGAATAAAACTGCTACTCCCTAATGATGAATAAGTACTTGAGCTAAACATCTCCAGTTCTCAAGCCTTGGCATTTTTAGATCAGCATGACCATAGAAATGTTAGTGTTTTTAACCACAGACCATCCACCTCAATATGCTTTTTACTGAAATATATATTTAAAACTTATTTATGACAATTGGGTTTGAAATAGAAGTATACTGCTGTCAGGATTTGGTATTGCTGTTGTAAAATAAATTGTGTGATATAGTCAGATGATGATACATTATTTATTATTTATTTATAAAATTTATTGGCCGCCCATCTTACAATAGGGTAACTCTGGGTGGCTTACAGTTACATCTAACCTAAAACATAAAAAGTTAAAATCAAACCTTATAGCCAACGACACATTGGGAAGGGGGGCAGAGTGGGGGAGAGGTGGGATCTGTTATTACTCAATTGATCACCTCCATTGCACTGTTCCCCCCCTGGGGCCCCAAGCTGAGTGGCAGAGCCACGTCTTACAAAAAGATAGGAGGGTTGGGGCCGTAAGATAGGAGGGTTGGGGCCAATCTCACATCGGGGAGGGGCAAAATGTTCTACACAGATGATACATTATACCTCTTAAATCCCAGGACCACATATGGTGCTCTGACCTCTTTCATGAGTCATAGGAGCCTGCTGTGACCACACTTACTAAGTGATTAGATATTTATAGATTTGAAACATGAAATGTCCTCCTTAAAAATGTATTTTAGAATATACTGTACATTCTAAAATGGGTTGGAATAATATGAATAAATATCCCCAAGTGCTTTCTAAAATCTGTGATTTTTCAATACACTAGTTGTTTCTTTGCTCAGAATAAAGCTGCTATTATATTTTAAAAATGCACTTATTGCATGTTATTTTCCTCCTTAGACGTGTAGGAGACTCTCCAATAGCTGGAGCAGGGGCATACGCTGATAGTACAGCTGGAGCTGCAGCTGCTACTGGTAATGGAGATATCATGATGCGCTTCTTGCCCAGGTTTTTATACATTATTAACTTTTTAATATAGTTTTGAATATACTTGAATACTTTTGCATTTGACTACCGGTGTAAATAAATAAATAAAAGTGGAAAGGAATCAATCACGTTAATTTACAAACTTAGAACATTTCAATTAAGTTTTAATATATTGTTTTTAAAATGGCATTCTTTATTGATCACATTTATATCCTGCCACAATCTACATTAACTTTGGGGTATGTTTTAAAGTGAAGCCAACCTAAATTGGCTTGTTATAGTGCTGTCTCTGCACTATTCATCTAATTCCCTATTCTATCTTACTTTGGAAAGAGGCATATTTAATGCAATACTTGTGATAGTTACAGCACTATTCTTTTTCATATTATATTGAATTATTCCTTCATTTTCAATGTTATACCACCATTCTTTTTCATATTAAATTGTTCTTTCATATTCAACTTTTGTGGAATGAAATGGCCTAATTTATATGGATACAATATTTTGGTCTATTGCAATGAATGAATTACCCAGTTTATATTACATTAGGACTATATATTATATTAAACACATCATAATGACAGTTTAAACTCCCGGAATGTTCCTTTCTCCTATGCAAAATTTTGGAAATTGTCCATGTGCCTGTGGAGAGTTTTTGTGGCATACAGTGCTTTATAAATGCAATTGTTGAGTTTCAGCTATTCTTCAGGAATTTGATTAAAAGCAAGAGGCATTTTAAAGAACATTTAGAAAGCAATGTTCAAGGGAAACTGAAAATTATGCATATATCACTGCAAGTCTGCTGGCATTTATTTATTAATATCCCACCTTTATTCATTTTGCCCTGTTCTAAGCCTTCTCTTTTTGAGGACGGTTGTTGAGAAGTGGAAGGAACCAAATATAAAGGATAATTTCCTATAAGGAGCCAATTACCTTGGTCCCTTCCAGTTGGTATTCAGGCCTAGAGAAGGGATAGAAATAGCATTAGTTTCTTAGGTAGATTACCTTTGTCAGAATCTCAGTGAGGGAGTGCATGTTTTCTGGTCATTTTAGATATCTTGGCAATGTTAAATAGCCTATATTTCTAGACTATCTACAAGGGTTTGGAATTGGAGGCACTATTTTATGGCAGTTTTGTTCCTTAATAAATGAAAAGATTCTGCTAGTATTCAAGGAGGGAAAGACTAGAACCCTTGATTGTTCCATTGTGGGTTTAAAAAGATTGGTGCTTTTCTTCATATTATTTAACTTCTGTATTAACTTCCTGCAAAGGTTGTCATTGGTTGGTGGGAGATATTGGCAGCAGCTGGATGACCTGGAGATTGTTAGAGATGGGAAGTAGTGAAACAAGCTTAGATTAAATTGTAGGAAAACTGAATTACTGTCATCATTAAATATCAATTTAAAAATTGAGTGCGGTAGTTACTCTTAATGGGGCCCCCACTAAAAGAGTTAGTTTAGGATATGTGATCTACCTAGAAGGAAACTGCTGCAGCAGGTAGAAAGCAAGGACAAAGGTCCCTTGCCCAGTTTTTCCTGGTGTGCCAATTATGATCTTAACTGGACTAGTCTGGCAATAGTACTTAATGCCATGATAGCCACTCAGCTACAGTACTATAAAAATTGCTCTCCATAAAATTGCCTTTGACTTGGAACAAACAACTAATACAGAATCTGGTAATAGACACCAGGTTCTTACCAAGCAATGAAAAATGAAAATGTATTATAAATACTATCAATAACAAAAACTAGTACAATTGTACTTTTACCTTAATATCCTTAAATACAATAATATTAAAACAGTTACACTGAATGGTTAAAAATAGGGCAGATAAATACTGTTTATCGATTTAAATACTGGTAACAATAAGATGTTAGTTTATTTAAAAATAGTTTGAAAAAACTGCACAGATTTAACAATATTTCTTTGATGCCAAAATGGGTGGATGTTCCAAGGATAGAATACCCATGCAAGTTTAGGTGTAGTTCTGGTTGCTATTGTTTCATATCTCAGAAAAGCAGAGGATTGGAAGAAGAATCTCCTTGTTATAGGGAGAAATTCTCAATGAAGAAACATTTTTAAATATTGTTTTGTCAGCTAAAAGACATTTATTTGGACACTGGAGGATGTGGATTGTCAGTTCATTTTTCTGTCTTTGTAGTTATCAAGCGGTGGAATATATGCAAATGGGAATAGACCCGACAATGGCATGTCAGAAGGTTATTTCTAGAATCCAGAAATATCATCCCTATTTCTTTGGTGCTGTTATTTGTGCCAACACAAGTGGAAGCTATGGTACTTCTTTTTGTTTCTCCTGCATGTTTTTCTTAAAATAGAAAAGTTTCTGTTCATATAGGTATGATTCTGTTTACAATATCTATTGGTCACACTAGCATTGATATGAATATCTTTCATATGAAAGTGGCTAAATGAAAGGTTCACATTCTTTTTCAGAAAATATCATCAGACCGAAGCCCACTTCAAAGCAATCAAAGATCAGTCATGCTGGGTGTCTCATTAGTAAACCCTTGGATCACTGAGAAGTGTAATTTTGCTAATCAGTATGGCTTGTTGGGCTAGGTTGCTTAGTGCAGTTCTTTTATCTCTGATTTCCCACAGTTCATGTTTGAAAGATTAAATATACAAAGGTTCAATAAATTCACCAATATTAAGATGTAAATTGAAATAAAATTGCAATTATACTTTTAAGAGATATGAAGTCTAACGAACTGCTTTGAGGCAGATTCCTTTTTAAAAGTGAAAAGATTTATGAGAGAAAATTCAATGATGATATAACTAAGTCTATAAAGAAATTATTACATCACTGTAGAAAAGTAGAATCCCTAAATGTTAAAAGTACCAGGAGGCAGATTAATGTAATAGCCATTGTTTATTCTCTCAACTTTTCTTTTTCCTGCCATAGGCGCTGCCTGCAATAGAGTCCCAGGATTCACACAGTTCCACTTTATGGCTTCTAACCCTATTCTGAAGCAGCCATCTGAGCAAATAGTAGACTGCATTTAATTTTTTCTCCATCTTTTCTCTTAATGGAAATCCCTAAATTCAACCCAGCAGAAGAAATGAAGACTCACAATTTAATCCTAATATACTCTTGGAATTAAACTGCACTGCATTCAGTAGAAATTATTTCTATCTAAGATTGTTATACAAATAAATGAGTAGATTAGGTTCAGTCAAGTTGAACAAAACTATAAAACAACTTTTCTCAATGACTTTCTGAGCTATTTTTTGCAATAACATTCATTTTTAAAGATACTTTGCAAAATTAGAGAGCTTAATGATTTTTCCCCTAAGTTAACTCTCAGTTCTCTATTTTGCATAATATTCTAATGTAAAAGAAGCTAATACTCAAATTCACAAAATATAGCCATTGCTTAAGTTGTTTACTATTTTATCCTTAAAATAAATTCAGGTGTAGACTTCAAAAAACAAGATTCCATAAATTCCATTTTTCTTTACAATACTGTACAAAATATTTTTCTGCTGTTGAAGTTGAACCATGAGCTCCATAACATCCTACCTCATTCCCACTCCTCTCAAATAACTATCAGTGCTTTCTTTAAACATGTTTTACCACAATCTATTTAATTACCATAATTTGTGTTGAGTAACCATGAAGTAGTAATTATCGCTCAGCCTGACCTAGACTACAATAATGGGCAACATCAACTATGTTGGCTTGTGGCTTTCAAAAGAAAAGTATAACCTAATTGTGAGAGATTGTGGGCAAACCAGTAAAACCTGGGAGAAGTCAATTGAGATATTATATCATAAATGGTAAAACTCCTAGGAGATGTCTGAAAAAAAATACTCAAAGAGATTCAACCATAATTCCAGATAGATTAGAAAATGGGCTTTGGTCATTCTCATCCAGATGAGAAGGCCGAAGTACTAGCTTTTGTGTCACTTACCAATTATGAGCTAAACCTGAGGGATCACTTTTTTCCCCAGAGTTTCTACCCATCAAACTAGCATGCTGCAGATCCTGTCAGCCAAAGAAGGTTGGGCTGATGGGGACTAGAAGACAAGCTTTTCTGCAGCAGCCTCTGCTCTAATCCTGCCTTTGGAGGTTAGAATAGCCCCAACTCTGTTAGCATTTCGTAAAGCTTTAAAAACCTGGTTATGCTTCCTGCACTAAGGGCCCCGCTTCCTGGCTATATTATTAGTGGGCCAGATATTTTGCTCTTGTATGTACTTTGAATTAGATCTATAAATGTTCTCTACGGTTTTTAATTTTTTTACTGTTCTTACTGGTTTTTTAAAAAATAATTTTAATAGTAATATATGTTTTGAATTGTAAGCTGCTCAGAGTCATTTACTGAGATAGACAGCTGTAGAAATCAAATAAATAAATAAAAACATTAGATCCAATAGTGGTTGTGTTTTTGTTTTTTGTTTTGTTTTGCCAATCAGTTGAATAATATATTATAAATATCTGCTGAGACAAAAAAAATAGAAAAGAGATCACATAAGCGTCTTGTAGGATTTTTTTTCTCTTCATCTCAAATGGATCTTTTAAGATAGGTTTACCAATATTTCAATAGAAGAAACTTTATTCTAAGGTCTTTGGGGACTATCAACACAGGCACTTAGAAACATACAGTACCTGCTAAAAGACATTACATGATTTTGGCCCAGAGTGCAGCTACATCAATGGAATAATTATTTTTATTTTTTTAAAAGTAGGATCACATGCTTATAAATAAAAAATTGTCAAATACTGAATGACATTGTAAGGTATAAATAAATTGCATGCTGCTTCCCTCAGTTCTTTCCCATTAGTTGTATTTATTGAAGCTAATATGGGCTTAAGTGAAAATACCTGGATAATACCCAGTTACTATCTATCTTTAAGATCACTAAGTTGGAGTTGGAAATGTGGCTTCTGTGGCCCAATTATATCTCTAAATGGTGTCCACTAACCCTCAACATTAAAAATGTATTAAATGTTCAGTTGAAAATGGCTGAAAAAAATCACCTTGTACAATTTTAAAGAAAGTTTAGTTGATCGTTACATTTTCCCTTTCATCAGTATTATGTTTCAAATGAGATAAATTCAGTAATTTTAACTAGAAGTTTTTCTATCGGATAAAGGGCTTCAAAAGTCAGTGATTTTGCTATATAGCTGATAAGTGAATCTTTAACACAAATTCTGTTCTAACTCCGATTACTATTCACAGAGAACTGTAATAAATTGTAAAGAATGAATAGAGAATGTTACTTTACATATTTATTTAGCTAGCAAAACAAAGTCATGATTTCCTGAAACAAATTTAATTTAAAAAACTCAAATTTTTATAATAAAAAGGTTCTTTTCCATTTGTTTCAAATTTTTAACCAGATCCTGAGCAGGTAATCACATTTTATTACACTAAACTTTAAAGGGTACACTCAGATTTTAAAAACAAAAAACACCATGGTTCAATATATGTATATTAATATTACTCAGCCTGGCATTCTCCAGAAGTATTGAGACCACAACTTCCATTGTGTTAACCTTTTGACCATGACCTGATAAATCCATAGTTTTCAATGATTTTAGACAGCATTATCTTGTTCTAAATCAGGTCCTGTATTTTTGCTTTTTTGCTGCAATTTTATAGTACTTTGATGCCTTGGGGAATCAAAAAGGTAATTTTGAAATAATTTTTAACAGTATAACCATGTATTGACTTCCAAGATTTTGGTGAATGTTAGCACATTAATAGAGACATTGTAGAAATAGGTCATAATAGCCTTTATACATTTCTTGGAATTTTTCCTTTATGCCACTTATGTACAGCAACACTTTTTGTAATAGTAGGTAAGCACAATCTTTTGAATTCACTGTATAGATTTGCCCTAAGGAGCCAATCTTGTCAGTTACTTTTAGGTTCTCTTGCATTAAAAAAGAAAAATAACAAAATTGCCCTGTGTAATATACTGAAGAAAATTGTTCATGAAGGCTTTTAGGATGAGAAACTACCAACTCTATTATTACCTTATTCCTTTTAACCTTCCTGAAATAAGTACTTTTCAAGTAGTACTTCATATTGTGGAACAATACAAATTTCTATATCTCTTAATGGACTTTATGCCACAATTTTCGCAATACTACATTCAGTGATAACAATTTTGTCTTTGCACCATAATTAATTACATTAGAATTTTGCTGCAGTGTGCTTTAGGGAACCAATTAAAGGAAAATAAGAATGGCTAGTGAAGTTATAATTTGTTTTAATACTAAAGAAAAGCAAAAGTTTTATAACTCAGTGGTAGAATAGTTTGTATAAAAGAAATGCAGCCCTCAATTTCTGTTATTCCCATACTGGGCTGGAAAAAAACAGAAATGTACTTATTTAGTGTTGCCAAGAAAACTAGGACTTGTCCAGACAATCATCAGGAGTCAAGCTTGATTCAAAGATACAATCAATTATCCAATCTCATTTAGTGTACACAATTATTTGAATCATTGGTCTAACGTGATGTTGATTTTCATAATGAAAATATTTGATATGTACCAAGTACTGTGTACATACATGCATACACAGTTAATTTGTAAATACATTTTAACATGTTCTTCAAATGTGCATAGTATCTCAATCCTACCCACCATAACAAAATGAGATTGTGCTCGTGGTGGCTGTCCAAGGTTTATGTTAAATCTGAGAATTAATGGAGATTTGAACCAGTTATTCTTAGTCCTATTCCAACTTTGAAAGGCATTGCCAAATATCATGTAATTGAATTTAGAAAATGAGTTATTTGATGAAGCAAAATATTCATTTCTGAATTCAATGTATTCAACACTGCAATACCTACTGTACTTATATAGATTTCCCTTGAATCCAATGAGACTGAGGTTTAAGTGTTGGAAAAGCTTGTGAACACAAAAGGACTAACAGAAAGTTTCAATTATGCATGACTAAAATTGGAGAAGTCACAAGATATTTGGAATTTTTATACTGGATCCTTTCATATATTGACTGCAGGTAAAATCATTAATATGAGAGAGACAAGATTTTTCTTCAGTTGAAATAATATGTTTCTTCAAAAAAAATGAATCTTCCTCAAACCTTTTTTCTGAAGTTGTTGACATTTCTAAACTACTTTTCAATGCTATTTGAGGAATTTGGGGGAGTAAGATTGGAAAAAAATATATAATTCCCATTTTAAACCTTATAATCCCACTATCATTTTCCAGACAGTACTTTTTATAAAGCTTCTGTAAACCAAATATCAAGCAAATGTATCACTGAATTTCAACAAAAACAATTCCAGTTGCCTCAGAGCCTAGAGGGAACCCATACTTTCTTAGATTTTTTGTTTTGTTTCATTATACCTTTAAATCAGTGTTGACTCTGGACAACAGCTTGGCTAAGTCCTTGCAGTTTTTCTTAGCAAGATTTGGAAGTTTCTTGCCATTGCCTCCTCAGGGTTCAGAAAGATCAGCCCAAGCTCACCCACCTAAGGCAGGATTCACGATCTCCTGACTAATGTGTTCAAACTGTCTCACTTATCTTAGTTCCTTAGATTTATATAAAGCTATAATAAATATGATCTTATATTTGTAGAAACCCTGAATGGCTAGATGTTATGAAATGCAATTGCATGTATGCTGTTGAAGGAATGACATCATTGTCTCAGACCTCTCTTCAATTTAAAGGCATAGTCTGTGGGATGCAAGAACCAGTACATATTTTAATTACCCCGTGCCTTTCAATATTGAAGTAAAAGAGATGTTTTGTCAATTGTCACTTCTATGTCTTTACCAGTGATTTTATGCAGCTCTTAAAACTGAAGAAAGGTGTTCCGACAGGCAGCCTGCATAAGCTATGATTCATTTTAAAAAAATAAGTTAAATCACTGGATAAAATCTGTACTGTTTCCTACCTCTGATTTTGGGTAGCTTTTCTGAATTATTCAGCTCCAAAATGAACTTTAAATTAATACAACTTTTATTAGCATGGTTGTCCTTTATTAGGCATAATATAGACCTATAGTAAACTATAGGAGCTTAAATTCAACTTGTTCCTAAAAAATTGGAAGGGACTTCACAGTTGTTTCCTAGTTAGTATAGATTGCACTTGTGGATTGATGGCATGCTTATTAACATGTCTTATTCACATTTTTAATAATATTTGCTGAGTGTTTTCATTTATAATAATTTTATTACATTTAAAATAGCAATTTAGAGAGATAAGCTTAATTTTCTTGGAAATAGCTTTCTTAACAGAGAAAAAATCTAAATGAAGGAAAGGGCTAGAAATACTCTAAACTATAATTGAATCAATCATTTTGTACAGCTCAACAGGCATTTTAAGCACAAAAAAGAAAATGGTTATATTTCATGCCAAGGATCTCATTTCTAGCAGTGATTCCTACTATTTGGGTGACCATTGTTAAAATCATACTGGTATTTTAGGATGCCCCATTGTGGACAGGTTAATTGTACAAAAAGATATTGCTTTCCTTAAATAAAACTAAAATAGCTCCACCTAAAATATACATTTGTAAAATTCTTACATTTTTTTTAAAATTCAAGTTATTACAGTAATTGAACTTAAAAACCTCAAGGCTGTATTTTGGAAATTCAAGTATGATAGTCCTCATCTTATGACCACTTAACAGTTTAAAATTATGACGGCCTTGGAAAAAGTGACTTACGATCTATACTTGCACTTACAACCTCTGCACCACCTCTGTGGTCACATGATTGCAATTTGGGTGCTTAGCAACCAACTTGTATTACAAGTTACAGCAGCGGTTCTCAACCTATGGGTCGCGACCCCATTTGGGGTCGATCGACCATTTCACGCGAGTCGCCAAGCAAGGCCGTCCGCCATTTTTTTTGTCCGTCATTTTTCCCCCCCTTTTCCGGCGGGTGCCTTACCTCCCTTGGGCTGGGCCAGCTGGTGGTCAGCCTGCTCCGTCTCCGCCGCTTGCCAGCTACACCTCGGCCGGCGCAGGGGGCGGAACCATGCATGCACGGCGCTCCCGGGCAGGGAAAGTCCTCGACTTACGACCGGTTGGGTAGTCCTCGACTTACGACCGGTTTAGTCCTCGACTTACGACCAGTTTAGTCCTCGAATTTCGACCGGTTTAGTCCTCGACTTTCGACTGGTTGGGGGTCGTGGCATTAAAAAGGTTGAGAACCACTGAGTTACAGCATCCTGCTATCATGTGATTTCAATTTGTAACCTATTTTGCCTATTTCTGACAAAAAAAACCAGCACAAACCACTCATTGCTGAAGGTGG